TTTTTTTCATTGCGCAAACCCTGTTGAAGGAAGATGGACATGCTCTTGGCAATATCTCGGTACGTCACATTTTCTCGTGCGAGAAAGACCCCATAAAGCGGGACGTGTTGCTGCAGCAGGGCGGCATGGAGCACCTTTTTGGCGATGTAGCCGATTTTGAACGAGAACGAGGCTATTGCTACATCTGCAAATGTGAACACAAAATCAAGACAGTTCCAATCGACGTCCTGCAGTCTGGTCCGGCTTGCACAAACATCAGCAAGCTCAACAACGAACGCAAGCGACACGCAGGGGCCTACAACGGGAAAGCAGACATACCAGATGGCGCTTCAGGCATCACCTACAGATTTGGTTTCTTCGAGGCGGGGTTGAGACGACCAGGAGTCATGCTAAGTTTTGCATATATATGTATACTGCTGTATACATGGGGCTTGTTCACAATATATATCTATATAATGCGAACATTTGACACGCGTACACATATATATATATACATACTGGCGTATGCGTCACCACTGGCTTGTGTATGCACATGGCTAGACACATATATATATAAGATTATATAATATTGTTTTCCCAGCATTGTCACAATCATGTTGACCGCAGTTGCCGCGTGTATGTGTAGGTGATTTCGTTGCTGCATCCAAGCCTGGCAATTTATGAGAACGTCCGAGCAGCTGCAGAAAGAACGAAGGACCACAACGGAGATCTCCACGAGCCCCCTGTTCAGGCTCGCCTTTTATTTATATACCAGTGCCCTCCAACAGGTCTCCTTTGGCGGGTTGTTAGGCCCTAGGAGGTCTCAATTGGTGACCGGTTATATATATGGATTTTTGTATGTATGGTATGCGCTTTTCCCTCCAGCGCCCTTTCCTGACCCATCCCCCTAAAAATCCCTTGGAAGCAGGTGATCAAGAAGCACATGAAAGCGATGGGATACAATTTCGCCTGGGGCCAAGATAAATTTTCACCTATGCATTCTGCAAAAAGCTGTCTCTGTTTATACACACAGCACCTCCACATCATGGTGCACGTGAGGATCCATGCACTAACTTAGATAAACTTAGAATGATGTACTTGTTGTGGCTGCTGTTCCACTTAGAGATATATATATATGTATAAGTCAGAGACAAAACTATCATCATGTAGTTTTAACGGAGCGCTTCATGCAGCTAGTGTTTTGTATATATATAGGTTTTCCTCGGGGACGTCCTAAAAACAATACCTCTAAGACTTGCATTGCAGCCAGTGAGATGGAACGATCTTTAATTAAAAAGTTGTCACACCGGGGATCTACTGGGGCAAAGGTTGGGAAAGAGTGCGGATCCGCTTTTGCTTCCATGTATGGGCGGCTTCAACGATACCCCAACGATACCTCGCAAGGTATGTTTTCTCCGCCACATGACAAAATCCCCACACGTACACTTGGCTTGCTGCTGGCTTGCTGCGTTATTAAGCTCGTATAAAAAAGGCAAAAAAAGAACTCCAGATCGAAGGGTCTTCCTTTTCCCTTACAAAAGCCTTTATTATAATAGTGATTCTTCATTAGACTAACAACTAAAGCTTTCGAAAGGTGATGTCGCTGTGCCATGCGGTTTTGGGTGACCTCGGTGGAAAGTGTGTTTGCGTGAGTCCGTGCCATTGGGGGAAGGAACACCTGCTGGTGTAAACACGGCGTCATGGTGGATAGACAGGGTGGACAGAGGTAGGCAGCTACGGTTGTTTTTGGGACCTATATATATATATAACTTTGAAAAAGAACTCCTCCAAAATAATCGGCCATGTTGGTAGTTTAGTAGGCACCACATATGCGTACTTGCGCTCAAACACTTAGGTGTGGCGAGTTGTGGATTCGATCCATTATATGCTTCCACAGAGGAGAAATTGCGTTTGGGGCATTGCCACTTTCGCTACCCATGAAGAGCTTGAGCCATCCAACATTCAGAGATTCTATGATGAAGCTTTGGCATGTATGCGATCGAATTTCCAGTTTCCACTTGAGACCAACTTCCCTCCTAGGGATCAGACACAGCCGCCGAAAGCAGGACGCCATGCTGAACTGGTTCAGGCTGCTGTGACAGGTGGTTTTGCACAGAGGGACATATTTGTGGACTGCCAGCCGAGTCTCTCCCGTCCGACCCTTTGTGTGCGGGGCATCCCGTGTGTATTGCCACGCACCCGGTGTACTTCATTCAGCAGGAGCGCTATTTGGATGGTGTCGACTTCATGAATGCACAGGGGCTCTGGCCCTGCGCCTTCAAGGAATCAGTTTACACATCCATCACCGAAAATGGCGCGCTTGCCCAGAACTTGGCAGGAAATAGCTTTTCTGCGACAGTTTCTCAAGCAGTCACTCTGGCAGCATTGGTCTGTTGTTCAGGACCATGGCGGTCAATGGACAGCATCCAGGTCGTTCAAGATCGCCCTGCAGCCACTCTTCGCAGGTTGAGGAACAAGCGTAAGGCTCCAGAATATGATCACATGAAGCCCAAGGTCGCAAAAAGGATAAGTTCCAAGAGGAGGAGACAAGAAATATCGCAGGAAAGTTCCTGGAGTTGATGGCCGAAAGAAGAGCAAGGGCAAGAAATGCGTTGCCACAATTTGGCAGAAAGAGAAAGTGTGGGGGGGCCCAGCGGGCTTAATGAAACAGAAATGTGTGATTTATACATGTTTTTTTGCATACCATTGCAACGATGTTCGCATTGGGCCATTCTAAGTTCTGTTTCCAACCTGCCTGCCCATTGAGCGCAGCCCGCCCAGGATGGAAGCGTATGATGCTGCTGTGCAGGAGGGCCGAACAAATCCATGTGCCTACGTTCAATCCCTTGGGCTGAAGGGATTCTACAGATCATGCATTTACAAGTGGAAGAAGACCCGTCAGCAAGATAGCTGGACGGTCATGCGCGCAGCCTCTCCACGTTTGGCAAAGAAATATCGTGAATTGCCAGACGTGTTGAGAAACTTGCTAGGGAAGCAGCGCAAGTTCATCCAACGCGCGTCCAATGCCTCAGGCTCTGCCACTTGCATCCTACCCGCCGCTTTTCAAGACATGGTTGCTTCTGCAGTTGCCACTGGTCTGAACACTTTTGGTGGGAGATTTGCGGGAACTGTGGATGGACATGAACACAAATATATATATATAATAATATATATATTTATTTATTTTTATTATATTGACACCCACACGTGTACATGCCAGATATTCCCAAGAGCATCCAGCATCCAACAAGAGGTCATTCTAAGTAGCTTTGATCTTGAAAACAGGGGTCATTCTTTCTTGAGCTTCGCCCACTGACAGGTTGAAAGAATAGATCTTGGAGAGGAAGTGGATTTTAACTACGTTGTTGCGCTGTTGGAGGTGGCCATTGAGCAGTGGAACTTATGTGTGAAATCCATGAAAGAGGAGATGGAATCCCCACATGCTATCCTTGAGGGCATTGAACATCGGGGCAACTTTGAACCAGAAGATTTGGATACAGCCGTCAACGACATGCGGGCCCAGAGCCAGATGCTTCGTGAGATTGCTTTGCCACCCACATCCAATGCATTTATGTTTCTTGGCTGCATTTTGTGCAAGTGGAATATCAATATCATCAATCCTACTCCCATGATCCCATCCTGTGGCGTACATTCTAAGTTTTCATTCTAAGTTTTCGTTAATTTGGCCTTAAGGAAACAGGCGCAAAAACTATGTTCAAAGGCCTCAATTGGTATGCAGTCCAATCTGAAGCCGGGGAAGCATCTCCCATACGCTCATCCAGCAATGGAAAGGGTCAGAGAATGGACTGCCTTCCAACCAAAATCACAGTGGTCGTGTGAACGGCCAGCTTCTGGCCAACTTCGACCAGGTGTGGTCGATGAATTGGAGGCCCAGGAAACAATGTTTACAACAGAAGTCTTGCGATGAACATGGGCAAGATGCGATTCGGAAGTCCATGTCACTCAGGAGAGCAAGGCATTGCATAGAGCGCTTTTTGCATAGACCACTGACAGAACCCATGGATTCGAGGAATGAGCCTTGCCAAGTGAAGAATGCCAGAGTTCAGGGTGGAGCCGCTGGCTCCATTCCCGTGGAGTCTTTCCGCCAGCCTCACACGCTCACAACGTTAAGCTGGAGTGACGGGGAGCTGGGCCGGGGATTCATAACGTGCAAGGAAGACAACCTGAGTGAAAGACAGCGAGCAGCCCCCAATCAGGAGACGGTTTGTCAAGCCTCTCAAGATTTGTCCCGGGGTATAAATACATATATGTATAAATACATATATACATATACATATATATGTTTTTATTTATTTATGCACGCAGCAGTTGATTCACTCGACGTCGCATGTGGGAAG